TCATTCATCGTACAAATAATGACAAGTTAACAGCATATGATGCTTGTTCCTATACTGTGTTATTGGTCTATCACTCTAAAAATGTATTTTTGTAAGTGTTGGATAATGTTCATTTAGATGAAGCAAAACTGTCAACAAATGAGCCCATTGTTGAACGCACTAAAGTGCAATGGCTGAACGGCTCGCTCCAACTTACACGTACTTACAGCCCTGCAAATTTACTATTTTACAGTTCTCTTTACTATTGTGTCCTTATTTTTGATCAGTCTGATGGAGAAAACCATTTTCATAGTTGTTCTCCATCAAACTCTCTTTCCAGTAATTCTTTATCTTTTAAGCAACATGTTTCACAGGTTCGCAAAAAGCACTCTTTTTGCAAATTATTGCATAGCATTTCTTTAACCAAATTACCAACAGTCATACAATTTGAAAGCAAGATCTTCAGCTGAGCATGCTTGTTAATAATATATCGTCCATTTTCATGCAGCTTGCAGAGGCACATTCCTCTGTCACGTGCAGTCGGAATTACCACCCAAAATGGTCTACAAGCACAAAATGTAGCATATGAAACTTTTATGTTTGGGTTTTTTACAGCAAACTTTTTGTGCAGGTCTGAACGTGTACTTAGCAAAAGTCTTCATTGTTTTTTTCACCTTTACGCGTGATAGTGTCTCTCTTACTGGTAGTTATCCTACTGTTATCATCTCTTTCATAGAATGCAACAGATGCATAACGAAAAACTGTAGACTTATTTCTTGCATAACTGTGAGCAATTTGATCTTGATAAACGGCGTGTACTAATACCAGTGAAATCTTGACATGTTTTCTTTATTTTATATTTCTTCATCAGTTTAGATGTTTTTGCGATGGCAAATTTTTCTCTGTCTGATTTGGTTGCTGAATACTTTTCGCGAAAGATATCACATAAAACATTTTGAAACAAAAGTGCTTTTTTGATTTCAGGGCGCCAATTCAAACCTTGGGTCATGTTTCTCATTTTACTACGATTAGATATATTTATTATGTTTAGTGCAGTGACTTTGCTTTCAGTACTTTCATGAGATTTTATGCCGAAATGTAATATGAGAGAACTTTTATAATATGAATATATACAAAAAAAGTTCTCTCATATTACATTTCGGCATAAAATCTCATGAAAGTATTAACGTGCATATTTTAATGTCAATCTATGCAATTGCATCTCAAATGTCAAATCTGCTTATTTAAAAGTGAAATAAGAAAAGAAAAGAAAGAAAAAGAAAAAAAGAAACTAAAAAATTATTTTATAGATATGAAAATTAAAAAAAGTAAATGTAAAACAAGGTTAATAGATTTAAATAAGAATAGATTAAAAAAACAAAAACAAATAAAAACATAACACAATCTAAAAGAAAAAAATCTTCGAAAATAGTAAATAAAAAAGGTACGGCAATCAAACAAACTTTAAAGTCTGAGGTGGCGAGGTGGCGTGAAATATTGCGCTGTATTTTGGATGTAACATTGTTTCTCTCATCGCGAAACATGGTGTTTAGAGGTAAACTTTATTTTTACTTAGCTATTGATATTTAATGTAAAAAAAAAATTTTATACAGGTTCTTGTGTTATTAACAGGTCAAACATCTGCTCTTGGAGTGCAAGAAAGTGGCAATTTTTTAGTATTTTGCAAAGACTCAATCGATTTTAAAAGGTAAAAAATAATAGAATTTTTCTTTTCTTGTTTATCAAACATTATTTGTAACTTAAAACTTGAAATCATTTTCTTGAAAATTTCTCGGCTTTACAAATTTTCATAACTAAATATTTACATTTGAAGAACACAATTGTCTTTTTTGTTAGTTTTTAAGTAAATTTTTTAACAATTTTCAAAAGATTTTGTTATTTATTGAAACTTATTTATGTATTATATAAAAACTGTTATAATTATTAATGATAAATAATTATATATCATTTAATTTCACTTTTTCACTGTTACCAATAGTTTATATTAGAATCTTATGATTAAACCTATAAGTTAGGGAAATTTTAAGTAAATTCACAACTAAAAATAAATAAATAGTTATTTTATGTGCTTATATTAATATACAAAAAATAAGTTTTACAAAAATGGTGTTACATTAATTGACAAGAAAGTTATAATGTTTTTAAGTGCCTTTCTATAACTTTTTTTAAAATAAACTTTCTTTTAATAAAAGTATTTTTTCTTTCATAGATTTCTTTTTTCTAACTCTACTAACTTCTTTTTAGAAATAAAGTTCTTTCAGCCTGTAGCTTTAGCGCTTCTTCCCCAAATTTAAATTTCTCCTCCGTTAAGTAACTCTCCATATCAACAGTTAGCAGGTGGAGAGCTGGAGTGAGTTTTTTTTTTCCAGACAAAATTTTGGTCGTTTTTTAATATATTTTCATCTTGCACAATAAATCGTTTAGTTTGTCCTGAGTTGTCTTTGTTCCCATTTTCTGATGAAGTTGCAGTGTGTAGCATTGTACAACTTGCACCATTAATCACAACTGGAATAACAATATTCTGTATATCGCAAACAAAATCGATGCTATTGGTTTTCACCCCTTCCAAACCAAAAAATATTGGAGAATTTTCTCCGTATATCCAATATTTTCTGGCTCATTTCTGTTAAAATTACTGCTGGTCCTTCCTTCGTCGGAATTTTTTGATGTTGATGAAATCTCTTTTTTGGCATTTTTTAGAAGATTATCCCATAAACCTTTCACACTGGTAACTATGGTAACTGTTCTTTTATCAAATCCTAAGCTGTTTACAGCATCGGTGATCTAAAATACACAGAGGTATAAAAATTTATAATGCTGTCTAAACTAATTTATATATATATATACATATATATATATATATATATATATATATATATGAATATATATATATATATATATATATAAATATATATATATATATATATATATATATATATATATATATATATATATATATATATATATATATATATATATATATATATATATATATATATATATATATATATATATATATATATATATATATATATATATATATATATATATATATATATATATATATATATATATATATATATATATATATATATATATATATATATATATATATATATATATATATATATATATATATATATATATATATAGGGGAAAGCGGGGCAACATGGCGAACGTTTTGAAAGGCCTGAGTTATTGCAAAGCTATCAGTCGTGAAGCAATAATACTTTCTGAGTATGTTTATGTTATTAAAATGATTTATTCCCTGCATAAATTTTCCATTTGCAAATATAACAATTTGAAATAAATAATAAAATAAAAAGTTCATTAATTTGTCATCTGGTCACGTGACCGGGGCAAGATGACTTATTATTCAATTTTTACCTCCAATTTTATAAAATTTTAAAAACTACCAATAACTCTAACTAAAGTAACGAAAAATAAACACAAATCACCAAAAACTACTTCTAAAGAAGTTAAACTTGAAGGACATTATCCGTTATGAGAAACCGAAAGTGAGGAATTTTTTTTTAGGCGCAAAAAGTAAACTTATGCATATAAAATTGCGTTAATGATATTTCAAAAAGCCAATTGGAATTTCAAAATACAAAATGCAAATACAGTTTCATTTTCACCCATTTTTAAGATTTTTTATTGAGTTGTTATATGAAAACCCATTTTGCCCCATTCGCCATGTTGCCCCGCTTTCCCCTATATATATATATATATATATATATATATATATATATATATATATATATATATATATATATATATATATATATATATATATATATATATATATATATATATATATATATATATATATATATATATATATATATATATATATATATATATATATATAATATAAATAATTACCTCATTTCTTCGTTTTTTTATCTCCGCCTTTCCATCTTTGGACAAAAGAACTTCTTTATGTTCTTCAAACTTTAAAATAACCAACCATTTCTCTTCTGAGGCATACACTTTTTCTCTGGCTGCACGTTTTTTCTCAACTTTCATAGTTGATAATGTCATTGTTTTAAAAAAAATTTGTAATTTATAATCTGTATATAATATACTAATAACTTATATATGATACTAATAATTGTATGATTAAAAAAAAATATTTTTAAACAGTATGTAATAAATTTGTAATGTCATTAAAATAAAGTATTAAGTGTCTTATGCTTTAGTCTAGACTTATCTTTAATGAATAGTGAAACATTTTAAAGATTGCCGAGGGTAACAAGTGTTAATTACTATGATAGTATTTGTGAAACATTGCCAGGAAATTATTTTTTGTAACAAATCTGTGTCGCAGGTTATTATTTGTCGCAATAACACGTATATGGTCTACTAAAAATAAAACTAAAAGTAGTTAGAATAGAAAATATTCAATGACAATGCCTCGACTCGTTCGTATCCATTTAGTTTTCACAGAAGAAAGACGTCAAGAAATAGCAGTCCGGCGAGATCTTAGATGTGAAAGGTTATTTAGAGACCGAACCAACCCACTTGATATTTATGATGATGTTGACTTATATCAAAGGTTTAGGTTTCGTCGAGCTTCTATTTTCTATTTGGAAAATTTGCTGTAAACAGATTTACAACGAAAGTCAAATCAAAGTTTTTGTGTTCCGCCAATCTATCAAGTATTACGCGTACTTCGATTTTAAGCAACAGGATCTTTCCAGATTGTGATTGGTGAGTCTACAGCAGCATTAAGTCAACCAACTATTTCTAGAATTATTCGCCGAGTTTCTTTGAGTCTTACAAAAAGAGCTAATGAATACATATATAAAAATACCCAACTGATTTACACGTTTTAAATGAGAGCAGAGTAAATTTTTAACATGTGGCAGAATTTCCAAGAATAACTGGATTAATAGACGGCACGCACGTTTACATACAAAAACTACGCGAGCACGAATATGTTTATGTCAATAGATCATTAAATAATTGATTGATTTAATTAAATCACCGCTTGGTCAATGATTATTGACCAAGCGGTGTGTGATTATAACGAAAAATTCATTGATGTTGCTGCAAAAGGGCCTGGTAGCACACATGACGCAAGAATTTTAAGAGAATCAAACCTTGGTGAAGAAATAATAGATGGCACTCTTAAAGGTTTATTATTTGGCAATTCCAGATATCCATGTTTTCGTTGGTTGCTTACGCCGTATCTAAGTCCAACTACAACAGCTCAGTGTCGATATAATATATCTTTAAAAAGAACAAGAGTTTTAATTGAACAAGTGTTTGGATGTTGGAAAAGACGGTTTCATTTGCTTCATGGAAAGGTTCGAATGACCCCAGAAAGAACCTGTACCATAATTGCTGCGTGTGCTGTATTGCAAAATTTAGCAATAGAGTTAAATGATATGGACATAGATGACAATCCAATTGAAAATTATGAAAATAATAATGAAGACATAGTTGCTGAAAATAACTTTCGATTTTGTGATAATTTTGTTTTGCGGCATTTTGGACAATAAGTTGTTTTAATATTTTCTATGTCATAAATTATAAAAGTTTTTTCATTTTGTAACGTGTTTTAATTAAATTTTTAAAATTTACGCTGCAATTATTAATACAAAAATCAACGGCTGCGATTTCCCAATTAAACAGTTTTATTGTCTGTTGGCATCGCAACGCTTAGATGCGATAAAAAAACAGCACAAAAACTAGTTTACGGAGTTCGCTAACGGAGAAACTTTAACTAAAAAAATTAAAGGAGTAGTTAATAAACGGAGTCTAAACGGAATGATTAGAATACCATTAACTTTCCTTTGTTTTATAACCGGCCGTTAAAGATTTTTTTAAACGCGTTTGTCAAATAAAATTTCAACCGTTACGTGTCTGACTTACGTGTCGAAACGCGATTAAATTTGCCTTAATTACCGCTCATATATAAATTGCTAATAATTCGCGAATACTTTATATGAATTAAATGAAATGAAATTAAATGAAATAAAGTTTAAATGAACTTAAATGAAATAAAGCGTTTTTTTTACGGTATTTATTATTTGTCGGTGAATTAAAATTTAAATAACTGAAAACGTTTAAATCAGACATTGTAATATTGTCAAATAAGAAGTTCAACTTTTGGTGACTTAGGCACAGTTAAATGTCAAATTATATTAAAGATTTATACAAAACATAGCACTATTATCTAGGGATTGTAATACTGGTTATCGGTTTACTGGTTTACCGGTAAATACCTAAATTTGAATCAAGTTTTTTACCGTTAAATTTTTGTAATTTACCGGTAGATTAAGCTTTTTGCTATTTAAAGATTGTTTTAATTTCTAATTGCTGAATATTTTTATCTAATAAAGAAATTACTATAAATATTAAATAAGTTATTTATTTTATTTTCAACTGATTAAAAATTAAAAATATAAATGTGTAAAGCATTCTTTTGATTGAACTTAACGCTTGAGTAAACTTAACTACTTTAATTTATGTTTTAAAAACACACATAAAAACACACACACACACACACACACACACACACACACACACACACACACACACACACACACACACACACACATATATATATATATATATATATATATATATATATATATATATATATATATATATATATATATAGAAGAACGCGCCGGCAGTTGTAATAGCACCGGCAGTTGTAATAGCATCGAAAACTACTTCTTTTATCAAAAAAGAGACGATTCTCTTGAAACTTTCAAGAATGATTACACAAGATGGCATTCATTTGAATAAATTTTGTACGTCTGAAGATTTAAAGATGTTACTAAAAACAAAAGAATATATAGAGTTACCAAAATCGCCCAAAACCATTCACAAAAAAGTAATGGGTTATACCGATAAAATAAGGAAGGAAGTTGTAAAGGAAATTTTACAGAATAAACTCAATAAAAAAGCTTATAGCCTTCTCACAGATGAATGGACACCAAATAAAAAATCGCCGGTATATAAATATTACTCTTCATGGAAATGACGGTATTTTTTGGAATCTTGGATTGACTCGGAGTCATGGATCCGCACCTGCTGAGGTATGCGCAAAACTAATTGAAAAGAAGCTTGAAGAGTTTTATATAGCTTCGTCAAATATTGTAATTAAAGACAATCTTACTTAATTAAAACCATTAGTTATGTATCGTACATGTCATACAAATGGTAATCATAAAAGTACTTTATAATATTAGTTCATCAGATGTACAAGATGTTAATGAACATGATTGTAATGTATTATTTAATGTTGATTCTGATTATTCGGAAATTGAACTTGAAAATTTTGAAGAAGAACACGAAAATATCGACACTACCCAACTTTTTCTACAAAACGCAGAGCTAAATTCTTTAATTACAAAAATTCGTAAAACTTTTCAGAAAATCACCAACCAAAAATAATAAACTACTGAAAAAATAGGTTAAGGAAACTGTCGGAAAAGAACTTTCTTTAATTTTAGACTGTAAAACTAGATTGAGTAGTTTATTAAGCATGCTGGAAAGATTTTTAAAACTTAAAGATGCTGTTCGAAAAAGTCTGATAGATTTGAAAATTGAGATTTTAATGCAAGTGAAGTAAAATTACTTTCAAATATAATATCAAGCTTGCAAGGTTATTAGGTTGACAATTATGACATTTTTAATATCAGCAATAAAGCCGTAATTATTAAAACTATAACTTGTATAACTGCGGATTCTCGTGAGAGTATTCAAAGACACTTAAATGAATCAGATTCGGATTTAAATAACGACCTCATTAGAAAGGAAAATCTTCATCTTTTTTTTCAAATACAAACGGACAAGAATAAAGGGATAACTGTTTTAAAAGAAAATAACTCAAAAGGTTATAAAAGAAGTTATAAAAAAAGTGTTGGAGTACTTTCGACTAGAAAATATACAAGGAAATTACATTTAAATAGTTTTTGACTATTTGATGACCGTTCGTCCAACAAGTGTTGAACTTAAAAGAGTATTTTCAGGAACTGGACTAATTTGTATTAAAATTAGATCTCGATTAGGCGACAAGACATTTTTTTGAAAAATGATATTTCATAAAAGTTGTATTGGTTTATTGATATATAAAGTTTATCAGTTATTTGCCGATTTAGCGGTATTACAATTTTCATTTACCGAAATACTGGTAAATCAAAAAGTCAGTAAATTTACAATTCCTACTATTGGTATTAACAGTGGTGCATAGCCATCGTACATGACAGACTTAGATTGTTTAGTATCATACCATTCATGGTATAATTCATGGCATAACTTTATATTCATAGCATAACTTTCATATATTCATATTTTTATTATTATATTATTATATTTCATATATTCATATTTATATTCATGACATAACTTTCATATTTATATTCATGGCATAACTTTCATATATTCATATTTATATTCATGGCATAACTTTCATGTTTATATTCATGGTATAACTTTCATACATTCATATTTTATTATTATATTTCATATATTCATATTTATATTCATGGTATAACTTTCTACCAAAAATTCTTTCAGACATAATATCGTCTAAGTCATCAAACTGTTTTGTGGTCAATTGTTTATACTAACTCTTTATTTGTCTGAAAGTCAGTAACTTCAATTTTCGTTTTACTTTTTTTCTTTTCTTTTTCATCTAATATTTGGCATTTGTAGGTCTGTCTTTTATAAATAACTGAACGAATTTGAGCATGTAGTAATCGAAAATTCTTTCATTACGTGCTCTGGAAAGAAATTTTCTCTAGCCAGTTGGTCTAAACTATCAAGAAACTCAACAATCTAATTCTTTTTTGACCTTATTTAAATATGTTACAGTAGCTGGCTAGTCAAATATCTACAAATGATAGAGCTAAAAATATAATTTACGTAGCAATTGGCGTTCATTACTTTAACTAGAAAAAAAATTTATAATTAAAATAATAACTAAATTTATTTTACAATTAATTTTAAACAAAATTAAATTTAAACAAAAGAATGCTTTACACTTTTATTTTTTTAATTTTTAATCTATTGAAAATAAAATCTTATTTAATATTTATAGTAACTTCTTTATTAGATAAAAATATTCAGCAATTAGAAATTAAAACAATCCTTACATAGCAAAAAGCTTGGTTTACCGGTAAATTACAAACATTTACCGGTAAAAAACTTGATCCAAATTTAGGTATTTACCGGTAAACCGTATAACCGGATAACCAGTATTACAACCCTAACCAGTGGTGCATAGGTTGACATATAAGGGGAAACCATATGGTCCTAGCCCTTCCGCCTTTGACCTAACCCCTAAAAAAAAAATTTAATTGCTTTTGATATGCGCTAAAGTTACTAAAACAAAATTTAAATGCAACTATGATACCTCACGTCGCTTGGTATAACCAGAGTGGAAGCTGCTCTGCATTTTAACTATCCAACACGGCTGTTTCACTCAATATAAAAGCGAGCTTGACGTCCCAAGAATTTTTGTGTTTAAAAAAAAAAGAATTTTCGCCTAAAAAGTATAAAAATTCACTAACTTTAAATTAATAATATTTTTTTCTACAAATGCTTTCATCTTTAAATAATAAAAATATAAAAGAACAATCTTTCTTCATTAAGTAAATACTTACGTTAAACGAAATAAAAATTAACATTGTTAAATGATTTTGGATCAATTTTCTGTTTTTGGCGATTTTTACAGAAAACCCTTCTTGGGCCAACCAAGATTCGCTAACATAGCTACATGGTTAATGATTAAAATTTGGAACACTTATCAATGAATGTCTATTCTAAAAGATTCCTACGTCATCCTGGTGATTTTTGTACTATAACTCAATTTGTAATGCATTTATAAATTTAAATTTATCTTTTTTAAATATAAAATATAGTTTTATTGGATGACGTAAGTTATTGAAATTTCGACCTTTTATGCAGATGAAAATATAAAAACTATTATATGTACCTTTTGCTATGTTAGCGAATATGTTTTCAAACTTGTCATGTTTAGCAACTTTTTCTAGTTTTTCGCGAAAATATTTGTTTACGTTATTAAAGCAATGACGTAAAACATTTTTTTTGCGATTTTGTTTTATGACTTAAATATCTCTGTTTCAATTAACATAAAGTTTGAGTATTATTTTTTTTGTTTTTAAAATAGTCTAATAATGTTTATAACTTGTTAATAAATATTAGAAATATATATTTTCAATTTTTTGTTGATAAAAAGTAACAAATTTCTAAAGTTCAGCCAATTTCATCATTTGTCGCGTTTTTTCTTAACTAAAAAAATGTTTTTTTACTATTATATTAAATGTCATATGGTAAAACATTTTATTGCTGTTTTTATTCCGTTTACAAAAAAAAATTACCTTTAATATTTCAAAGTTATAAATATTTTAGTAACACCCCTTACGTTAAAATTTTCAAAAAAAAAAAAAAGAAGCCGTAAAGCTCACTCTGAAACAACCGTGCCAAAAATACAAATTTCTTTAAACTAAAATAAAAATTTTAT